AACAGCCGGGCGTCATCATATCGGCGGATTAAGCTTTTTGTATGTCGTAGTTTGCAGAAAAATTCTATGACTGACCACATTTGTGATTTTGCATAAATTTTTAAATAATGAAAACGATGAATTTGGCAGACTACACGGGTTTAGAAACACGCTTTTGGAAAGCATGTTTGCGAAAATCGCGGTTTTTAAGGGGCCATTTTTTTGACAATTATTTTGCAAAAATAGATTTTTTCGAAAAAGTATTTCTCGAAAAATTTTGCCACAGCTATCAGATTGAAATGGCCGCATTGAGTACAAAATCGATATGCCGAGTTCAGATACCTCCCTAGTAAGGACTTGGAAGCGAAGTGCCGGCTTGGCAAGCATGCGGATTTAACTGGAGCATGGTTGAACATGCTTTGGGATCCTTGGGACACACGTTCCAACCCTGGAACAGAGCGTAAAAAGCTCGCACAGACGATTTTCTGACGACCGGAACAAGTCAGGCTAAAAGTTGCTTAAGAGGCCTGATCTGGACTTGGAGAGCGGGCTCTTCCGTCCGTTTCAGCCAAATTGGGGAGCCAAAGGCAATTGGAATCGTTTTTAGCCAATTGCTATCAATTTCCGAATTTTAAGAATTTTTTCCGGGGAGTGCCGTTATAATTATGGCCGCCAGCCAAAGTGCTTTTTTCATGAAAGTCTTCGTAAAAAAATTTCTCGGCCTGGAATGGAAAAACGGTTGTGGGGTACCATATTGTGATGGAATACGGCAACTTTCTTCAATAGAACCCTTTTCTCGAAACAATTCCACTATCGAGAATTTTCGAAAAATCTGGGTGCCGTTAAAATTATGTCCACCAGTGTAGGTCAAATGGTGCGCGAGTCCAAATCTCTTCATTAGACACGCATACAACCAGACATCATTCCTGTTGGCTTTTTTAACGTCTTAAGCAACTCGAGGGCCACCTTTTATCTTACCCCCAGCCGGAAGTTTTTGACTATAACTTTTTTAGTTTACACTATTGTAGGCGCAAATTAAAACTCTTAGTATATTTCTCGACGCTCTATCGAATGGCGTTGCAAAAATCTTGACAAAATCAGCGAAGCGGCAGTTCAAAAACATCTGCCTTTTACCGCCCATTTTCAAAAATGATAAGGGTCCCCCCTTATAATACCCCCCCCGTAAACTATTACCCAAGTCTAGTACTTAAAAACAAATTTGAATATCGCTCAACTTTATCTGTATCGAACAAACCGTGTATTCATCGATGATCTTTCCTATGATTTAGCTTACAACCTGGTAGTACCGGCATATTTTACCTTTAAAAACCACGTTCTTGACCGGATGTGCTTCATTTTCGGACCAATATCCTTAAAAATTGAGCTAACCTGTATGATTTCAGACGAGGGACCGAGCGAAACTTTCGGCTACCGTAAGCTGGTGGATGGACCTTATCGAAATTGAAGAGCATGACGACCTAGCGCCTATAACCCTGTCTTTTAAGGTTTGTTTTTAAAGGGAAGATGCCATTACGCTGCGCAATAGGCTTCCGGAAGCTGTTTGCATGAAAAAGTCATGCTTTTACTAACAAGGGAACCACAAGTTGGCACGGTGGAATTTCGAAAAACGCTCGCGGCTACCCCTAGGTTTTCGACGACGGCGATTCCAACGCGCTAGTCAGTTTTAGCTAAATCGACCTGTGGACAGAGATACAGCACTTCCGGAAAATGGTCAATTTACATTCGGAGGAATTAGCATTCACCTCAGGGTTTATGAGGGCTTCCCGTCTCATAAGAATCACCAGTTGAATGGCTGGGTGGTAAGCCGCTAGCTTGTTAGGATACTGACCAGGGTTCGAATCCGTTCACAACTTTTTTGTTTTGCTTTTTGGACGGAAGTTTCGATTTTTTTCACATAGTAAAGCTTTTATTCGTTGGTGATGAAACCGATCCCTGCAAAAACGTTCTGAAATTGCATCTTTCATGCGACGGCCCCTTTCAAGCGAACGAGTAGTTTTTAAGAAGCTTGTAGTTTTGCTCAAAGTACAAATGCTTGCAAAATGTACAAATTTTTAAAGTTATAATAAAAATTACGATCCACTCCTGAAATGCCAATTTTCAGTTACTACTCAAAGAATTCGTGCCCCGCGCTCTTTTTTTCCCGACGGTACGTCTATTTTGAAACCTTTCGCCTCGGAGATTTGGCCGCCTTACATCCGATCGGTCCCAACATTCAACCAGAGGCGTATCAGACCCTAAATAACCACAATCCTGAGTTAATTCCCGTCAGGTAGAGTAGTTTTTAAGATACAACAGAAATAAACTTTATAAGCGAGTTTTCATAGGGCTTCGTGGGTGTGAACCCTAAATATTAAATGAATATGAGCTCAGCACCTTGCTTTACCCCAAATTTTTTTTTTGTCGTGACAAAAATTATCCAAGAGTACGCCAATGTACGCGTTTTTGGAAAGTTGGTACGCGTTTTTGGCTATGCTTTCGCAATTTGCATGCCAATTTGAAGTAATTTTCCCATGGTCATTTTCGGGTCGGTTTCTGTCACTGTTGATAATAAAAAGTGTTGAGAAAGCCCAATTTGGACGAGATTTTCGGAAATTCCGATTCCGAAAATTTCCGATTGGGTGCAAGGTGGCCAAATGCCAGACGGGGGGGACCCTGTAAAGGCTGGGGCACCCTGTAAGGCATACCTTTAATATTAAACAAAATTATAGGGCATCGACTTCCCAGCGCTCCCACACGTCGCGCAGCGATTGGTCATCTGCTACCTCAACGTCCACCTCCGTACACTCATCGAGTTCGCTAAGGCCAGCCGTAGCACCTGGCACATGGTCTGCTCGGGGCCGCGTCACTTTTTTTCACTGAGCACGTCAACACGAAGCCCGAGAGTGTGCATCCTGGACCACAATTCGCGTGGCATCTTTAAGTACGCCATCAGCAGACCGCTTCTGGAGGGGGCACGCGTTCGCTGTCTCCAGCTCAGCTACCCCCACAAAAACCATATTCTTCCCGGGCTGCAAGCCGAACAATTGACGCTGTACTCGCCGCACCTGTGGACCCCCGCGCAACTTGACATCTACAGGCCACACGGAGGCAGGTTTCGGCTAGTATACCTGCCAAAATTATCGGCCAAAGGAAAGCTATCTGACGAGTTGCATGATTTCTTGCGCGATTGCGCAGTCGAACTGGCTTATCATCGCCCCTGTGATGAGCACTGGGAAATGCGATTTCGGCCCTTCAAACACGCGAGGCTGCGGATTATCGGTCGTAGAATGACGACACATGCTCGAAATTACCTCTGGTCATTGCTCGACGAATGGGTGGAGGGGCAGCGTGAGATCGAGACACTAACATACGAAATGCCGGCCGGCCGTCAACATAAAACCCCGGCCACTTGGAATCTCGACGCGTACGGCGCGAAACATGTTGACGATTGCATGTTGAGGATTAGACGGGAGGATGGCGCGACGTTGAGTTTTTTCAGGACGACCAATGAGTACAAATTTGTTCGTTATGTTGGCTGATGACTAATTTTGTATTATGCTTATTTTGCGGGTTTCTACCTCCCATCCCTTTCTACCTCAATTTGCTTTCTATTCCGACTTTTCTGCACCCGCTACAAATCGGCTCGTGGGTTCGTGAAATTTATCGCTTGCATTGTATTGCTCAATTTGCCCAATTCTTTATGCCAATATCAAATAAATGTTTTTGTTAGTTTAATAACTTGACTAGAATGCAAAAGTGCGTCGAAGCGGTCTCAAGCTATCGAAAGCTAATCGCCACCCAGCCACAAACTCCGTAAAATCTTTTTGAGCACAACATTTTCGGTGAGGTGTCTGAAGAAGCCATCAATTTTGCGCGCGATTCGGCGGTGGAACTTGTGTTTCAAGTTCCGCATTCTAAGCTAGAAGCCTCGGGGTACAATCAATTCAAAAACTCGCGCCTTTGTGTCTACGATTGGGAGATGTCCCCAAATTCCCTGAAATACCATGGAATTTTGCTGGCAGAATGATACAACGGTAAGCGCCACCTCGAATCCGTCACCTTACAATTCAGGGACATCTCGGATTGTATACGGAAGTTACATTAAATATACCGACAGCACCACGGCGGTAGTTGCACGCGCCGAAGGTCGATTTTTGATTTTACAATACTTTAAGCTGCTATTAAAACTCTTAGTATATTTTTGATGCCCTAGGCGGAAGGGGGAGCGAAAATTCTGACAAAATAGCCGAAATGTCGATAAATTTTAGGGCCCGCAGGTCGGGGGTCCTAAAAGAAAGGTAAAGTAAAGTCTAGCGAATTGTGTATTTAACAAATTTAATAATTGTGAATGTAATAAATTTTCGAATCCATTATGATTAAAATGCCAAAGCGCAATTAATCGATATTTTATTTCTGTAAGTGACAAAACTGAATTTGGGGTTTGAGCCCTTGGCCTCAATTTCAATATAAACTATGAGACTGTTTGTAAATATAAATTATGAGAATATAAGAGAATATCAAGCTGCACATTCTTTGGTTTTGACGCCACAAAGGTACACGCGGCGAAAATGGCCACGCTACAGGGGGCTCGTTGGGATGTATGTCAATAGTGCAAAATGCCAGTTCTGCATACAACCTTTCAAAACCAACGATTATGAAAGTCAAAGGCGCTGAAGATCATTTTATAAGCTTCCTTTCCGATTGCTTTTTGAAACATTGGCTTTTATAGACACAATGAACGTAACGAAGCAGATGGACGATTCCGAGCTGCCCGCCACGGTGCGAAATCGCTTTGATGTCTGCCAGGGCCTCCCGCGTCTCGGAATAACCTGTTTTCGGTACTATTTTTGGTACTTTTTGGCCAGCGGAAGGAGATCGCGTTTATTCAAGAGCTATCATTTGGTACAAATCGAGCATCATTAACACCAGACCAGGCGTAGCAAAAAAAAACACATCTTTTTCGGCGAAGATATCCCAGTTGAGCTCGGTTTCGTCGTCGACGGGGTTTTCGGATTGGACTACTCCCTTGGCCTCGACTTGACCACCGAAATGCTCGTCGACGCGCTCATCACCGTGGCCATCGACATCGTCATGGATTCGGAGGCGACCGCTCGGGATTTCGAATTCAGCAGCCGCAGCTCGGCCTCGTATTTGCGGTATTGCCGGCGGAGGTACCAGCTTTCCGCGTACGGGCAACACTGGAAAGGACTTTTACCTTTCATCTTTACTAATATTTTTGCCAACTGACCGAATTTCTGGTGCCTTAACGATCAAGGGTTTTTTTTGACAAATTATGATTTTAGAACTTGATGAGACAACCCAGCCTGGTGGTGCACGTTTAAATTGAGTTTTTCGGATGAAAATGACATGAAAAGGGCCGAAAATTGAGCAAAAATTTATGCATTTCGAAAGTCGGAACGCAAAACCAGACGCGCCGTTCCGAGAGCTTTTGATACATACCTAACTCATCAAAATGAGACTCGTTGGAGGACCGCTAGTGAGAGGGGATCCTCTAGCTCCCACCCAAAAAAGTCCGAGGAGAAGGAGAGCCAGGGGCCCGAAGCCGATGATGTAGATGGTGAAACGTTGTCCGGTGCTAAATTTGTATGTGTTTAGCAGACCGGAAATCGTGGGACTAATTGCTATTTGAAATTTTTATTTTATTCATGCCAACAGCCAACCTCCTCTTGACGGCGCTAGCCCGACCTACAGAACGACAAGCCTTCGAGTTGCGCCGCGAGCACACGGCGATGATTTTCTGCAAAGCCAAATAAGCCATAAGAAATAAGAATAAAAAAGTAATGCTAAGTTTCGGTCGAAGTTACGGCAATTCGATTGACCTAAAAATTCGACGACCTACGCTGCAGTACTTTCGGTCCGAAGCGACAATATGCGAGTGGCCCATGCACTCGTGGCTGTAGAAATTGGCCAGCAAGCTGTCGAATTCGCGCGGGGCCTGCAAGTAAATCAGATACCATATTTTTCAATTCAATTTGTACCAGATGAATCGCAAAACGCCATTACCTTTTCCCACAGAATATCGCAGATGGCTAGTGTCGCGTCGATGCAGCGCCGGAAGTGCTTCTCGCTGAGCGCCTAGAAAGTCATTGAGCTTCGAACTTTGCTGTCTAAACCTACCCGGCATCTCTCCCCACTCACACTGCATTCGGCCACGAAATGAACTCGGCAAGAATGCTTGGCTAAAGGGTGGATCTTCGGAATTTTCTGAAGGCTAACATTTTCCGGCGCATTCGTCAATCTGACGGGGCTCGGGGACTTTCTGCCGGGCCGCCTCAGCCTGTCTCAGGTCCTCAATCTCGGGCACGTAACGATCGGTGGTGTCGAGATGGATATACTAAAAAGTCAGATGCGGAGTGGGTAGTCATTAATGCCAAGGCTTGGGCATATTAGGCTTGGACTTCGGCTTAGGCACAGGCATAGGTTAAGATTTAGGTTTAGGCTTAGGCTTCGCTTAGGCTTAGGCCTAGCTTAGGCCTAGGTTCAGGCTTAGCTTAGGTTTAGGTGAGGCTTAGGCTTAGGCTTCGCTTAGGATTAGGCTTAGGGCGAAGGGCTTAGGTTTAGGTTTAGGTTTATGCGTAGAGCTCCCTTAGGCTTGGGCTTAGACTTATGCATACGCATACCTGGTGGAGAATGCGACAATATATTGGCACCGTGTCGGTGATATTCGCGTCGATGCAAAGCCGCTCGTAGACTTGCTGAAAACGTTGCAGCTCAGGAAAGTCCAAAACAAACCGGCCCAAGCACATCCACAAAAGTTCGGATGATGAAGTCGCATTTGGCGGTGTCGAAGCCGTCGTCACGTCGTTTGCCTGATGCTTGAGCTCCGTGGCAGTCCTGTGGCAATTTGGCAACGATTCGACCGATTTGCTGAGCTTCAAGGGAGGTGGTGCTGTTCTGAAAATACTGAAAATCAACTCAACGAGGTACTAACGAGGCTGTCGTGACCTTGCACGTCCTGCTTCGAGACCCTTCAACTTTAAAACCGCTACCGTCACCTTATCAGGATTCTCTACCGTGCCGGAAATGAAATAGGCAGCCACATTTTCATTCAGATCGTCAAGGCCGCCCGGCGGCGCGTCGGTGGCTTGAGGAGCATCAGCTGATTCTTCTGGCTTCCACCCGACGAAGTAGATGCCATAGTCCTCGTAGCCGGGGTGCAGCTGGCAGATCTGTTGAGCCTTATGCTCCAATCCATCGACTCCCGCCCGGTCTCCCAGCGTTCTCTTCATCTCCCAGGCGAATTCGACATACAGGCGGCAGTACCCTCTAAAAACATGGCCCTCTAAATCTCTCTAAAATCCTCTAAATTTACTTTACCCCCCTCTCAGCCGGTAATTCCCAAAAGTTTTTTGCTATAAATTTTTTATACTACAAGTGTTTGGGCTGTAGTTAAAGCTCCTAGTATATTTTTTGATGCTCTATCGATTGGTGTAGCCAAAAACCTGACAAATTCCCGGGATTGCCGAAACAAGCTTGAAAATGAAGGAAGGGGAAAAGAAGAAAGAAAACGGCTTTGAAAAGCCGGAAGCGGTTTTCCAACCCTGGTCTAACCCGATCAAATACCTGATCGAACCCTACGCAAACGAAAAAGGGGAAATACCGCCAAGCGTGCTTACAGAGACAACGAGCAATGAATTTTGTCGGCCGGATCCGAGCAGTTCGTTGCGCTCGACGGGTAGAGGGTCTGAAAAAGGCATAAAGAATCTGGCCGAATTTTTTTGAATTTTCATTTACATAGCTAATCTTATTTTTTTAGTTCGCAAGCAGAAAAACTACACAAGGTTAATTATCGTCCTAGTAAGCTCCAATTCGTGACCTGATTGCTGAAGTAAGCAGCTTGTAGCACTTTGCAGCGCACTGCGTTTGCGCGGCTGCCCTGCCCGCAATATGCTCCCCACTCCGCAGTACATTTCCTCAGATCGGCCACGTCTCGCTAAAACCAAACTTCGTTAGTAAAATAAGTTCCTACCGCACCTAAGCAGCAAAACTGCGCAAAATTTTGTCAAAAATATCCAAATCCTGAACGAACACTAAATAAAGTAACCGGGACACTAATAATTGCAGTCTTAATATTGCAAATAATTGTGGAATTGGCCAGCTCCATTTGATAGAGCGTTAAAAACTATACAAAGAAAATTAGTTTAAACCAGGGTTGAAAAGCCGCTTCGCGACTTTTCAACCCTGGCCCCGTCTGATTTCACGATATACTTAACTTTGCATAATGTTTGGATTTCCGATGACAAAAAATGAAAATGGCGCTCTCTACCCGATGATATAGGTTAGCGGAACTTCCGGCGCATGCTAATCTTTTCCTAACAAAGAAGGTCGCCAATTTTTCAACAAAAATCTAATTTTAATGCCGAAAATAGGCAATTTTGATAAATCTGATAAGCGTGCAGTCATCCCAGAGCCATTACGCACCCAATGACGTATGATACATACCCTAAAACTTATCTTTTCTCGAGATAACCTCCGGAAACCCTGACGGAAGTTCCATGCAAAGTGTCACACTCACAAACACTATTTTTTTATATATAGTAGGATAGGATCTGAAAACTTAAGAAAGATATCCTACTATATATAAAAAAATAGTGTGTGTGTGTGTGTGTGTGTGTGTGTGTGTGTGTGTGTGTGTGTGTGTGTGTGTGTGTGTGTGTGTGTGTGTGTGTGTGTGTGTGTGTGTGTGTGTGTGTGTGTGTGTGTGTGTGTGTGTGTGTGTGTGTGTGTGTGTGTGTGTGTGTGTGTGTGTGTGTGTGTGTGTGTGTGTGTGTGTGTGTGTGTGTGTGTGTGTGTGTGTGTGTGTGTGTGTGTGTGTGTGTGTGTGTGTGTGTGTGTGTGTGTGTGTGTGTGTGTGTGTGTGTGTGTGTGTGTGTGTGTGTGTGTGTGTGTGTGTGTGTGTGTGTGTGTGTGTGTGTGTGTGTGTGTGTGTGTGTGTGTGTGTGTGTGTGTGTGTGTGTGTGTGTGTGTGTGTGTGTGTGTGTGTGTGTGTGTGTGTGTGTGTGTGTGTGTGTGTGTGTGTGTGTGTGTGTGTGTGTGTGTGTGTGTGTGTGTGTGTGTGTGTGTGTGTGTGTGTGTGTGTGTGTGTGTGTGTGTGTGTGTGTGTGTGTGTGTGTGTGTGTGTGTGTGTGTGTGTGTGTGTGTGTGTGTGTGTGTGTGTGTGTGTGTGTGTGTGTGTGTGTGTGTGTGTGTGTGTGTGTGTGTGTGTGTGTGTGTGTGTGTGTGTGTGTGTGTGTGTGTGTGTGTGTGTGTGTGTGTGTGTGTGTGTGTGTGTGTGTGTGTGTGTGTGTGTGTGTGTGTGTGTGTGTGTGTGTGTGTGTGTGTGTGTGTGTGTGTGTGTGTGTGTGTGTGTGTGTGTGTGTGTGTGTGTGTGTGTGTGTGTGTGTGTGTGTGTGTGTGTGTGTGTGTGTGTGTGTGTGTGTGTGTGTGTGTGTGTGTGTGTGTGTGTGTGTGTGTGTGTGTGTGTGTGTGTGTGTGTGTGTGTGTGTGTGTGTGTGTGTGTGTGTGTGTGTGTGTGTGTGTGTGTGTGTGTGTGTGTGTGTGTGTGTGTGTGTGTGTGTGTGTGTGTGTGTGTGTGTGTGTGTGTGTGTGTGTGTGTGTGTGTGTGTGTGTGTGTGTGTGTGTGTGTGTGTGTGTGTGTGTGTGTGTGTGTGTGTGTGTGTGTGTGTGTGTGTGTGTGTGTGTGTGTGTGTGTGTGTGTGTGTGTGTGTGTGTGTGTGTGTGTGTGTGTGTGTGTGTGTGTGTGTGTGTGTGTGTGTGTGTGTGTGTGTGTGTGTGTGTGTGTGTGTGTGTGTGTGTGTGTGTGTGTGTGTGTGTGTGTGTGTGTGTGTGTGTGTGTGTGTGTGTGTGTGTGTGTGTGTGTGTGTGTGTGTGTGTGTGTGTGTGTGTGTGTGTGTGTGTGTGTGTGTGTGTGTGTGTGTGTGTGTGTGTGTGTGTGTGTGTGTGTGTGTGTGTGTGTGTGTGTGTGTGTGTGTGTGTGTGTGTGTGTGTGTGTGTGTGTGTGTGTGTGTGTGTGTGTGTGTGTGTGTGTGTGTGTGTGTGTGTGTGTGTGTGTGTGTGTGTGTGTGTGTGTGTGTGTGTGTGTGTGTGTGTGTGTGTGTGTGTGTGTGTGTGTGTGTGTGTGTGTGTGTGTGTGTGTGTGTGTGTGTGTGTGTGTGTGTGTGTGTGTGTGTGTGTGTGTGTGTGTGTGTGTGTGTGTGTGTGTGTATGACACTTTGCATGCAACTTCCGTCAGCGTGTCCGGAGGATATCTCAAGAGGGGAGGGGTTTACGGAGGTGTTTGATACGTCATTAGATGCGTAATGGGCTGGAGATGACTGCACACATATCAGATTTTGTAAAATATTTCGTAAAAATTCGACCACCCACATTGCTAGGAAAAAATTAGCATAGGCCGGAAGTTGCAGTAGCCTATATCAAGGCCCAAAGGAAGCGTTTTTCGATTTTTTTTGTCATCGGAATTGAGGCACAATTATACAAAATAAAGTACATCATAGGGTTAGACGGGGCCAGGGTTGAAAAGTCGTGAAGCGGCTTTTCAACCCTGGTCTAAAAGAATTTAACATATTGAAATTCAGCAAATTTTTATCTAATAAAGGAACATTGGTTGAAAACTGAGCTATGGGGGAGAGCCAAATTCTTGAGATTTTTGTTTAGAAGTTGTCATTCGAATGGGCCTAACAATCTATAAAAAAAAGCTTTTTATAGCAAACAAAGGATTTAAAACTATGTTTATTGCAAAGAAAAATTTGCTATATTTGTGAGTTGTAATGTCTGGAGTTAGTTAATTTAAAAAAATTGGATCCAACTTGCCGAGTAGCATTCCGGAAAGGCGACCCCGGTGCAGCCGTCCCCGTCTTTGCACGATGGTCGATGCGGGTTCCGGCTTTGATGCAAGGCCTAGATGTGTTTCAGTGAAGCAAAAAAATTCTGTGAACCCGGCAGAGTGGGTACGTTCGGTTATCGAATTGCATCAATTGGTCGATCCGACAACTGTCAAAGAGGGGCTGGAAGATCTCGGCCGGCAATCCGTCAACGTACTCTTCCTAAAGAAGCCCGAACTTTTGCATGGCGATAACAACTGACTCACCACAAAATTCAGCGCAGCGCTTCCAACGGTATAAAACATGTCTATTCCTCCATCCAAAAACTAAGAAAATGGTTTAGTCAAAACACAGTAGAAAAAATTTAGCACTTATTGCTACAGAGTGTCCCAAAAAAATACCCCTTTCTCATTTGGCTGTCTTACATCCGATCGGTCCAAAAAATTGGACCAAAGCGGTATCAGGCGCCAAATAACCAGAATCATGACTTATAGCCCCACCAGCCGCTTACAGCTAAGATTTGAAAGGCCGATTCCTACGGGAACACGCCGAAGAACGAAAATAAAGTTTAGTTTGGTTGTATCTCGAAAATTACTGTAGCTGGCGGGCTGTAACTAAGCCGGTTGTTATTTAGGGTCTGATACACCTCTGGGCCAAATTTGGGGCCGATCCGATGTAATACCGCGAAATGCCGGAGTGGTGCTTTTTTTGGGACACCCCGTATATACCAGAGATATATACGATGGCAGCATCTCCTTCAAGCAGTACGCGCGCTCACTGGCGGTCGGATGTGGCTTGCACATGCGGAAGAAGAAGCCGAACGAGATCGCCTAAGGGGCTCATGATAAGCGTTTCAAGGGGGCCGCCAACCGTCAGGAGTTTCGGATCTTTCTGACCACAATAGTGCGCCCGGCGCTCGCATCTCCCGGTCCATTTCTGCAAAGAAAGCCAATTTTTGGCCACGAGGCAATATTCGAGTTTTGGTATCCGAGTCGCTTGAACGAAGGCTAAAAACGAACCATACAAAAATCATGTAGAAACGCATTGCTACGGTTCCACTTTCCAACTATCGTCATACACAGCTTTGGCCAGAGGAACACCGCCGAGATGTCACCGTAGTTGAAATCGTCGTAAAGCTGCAAATAGACATCGTATCGGGATTGTGAAGAAAGTGGGGGACTGGACTCTTAGCGGGTGGAATCTTAGCAGGTAATGATGATGATAAACTCTTGATGATATGTAATGTATTTTTTTGCAGTGTTTTACTATGTTTTGATTGCCGGAGAGTTATAAAAACTAAATGTTGAAAATTGGACGCTTTGGCCGTTTTTTCCATTTTTTAATTTTTTCATAAACTTTTTACATGTAAGACTATGTAAAGGGCTATAAAAATGTTCTATGTTTTGTTATAGGGCCGTACAAAATTACTGGGAAAAACTTGGTTCCAATTCTCCCTCCGCTAACAGTCCTGAACTAAAAGTGGATCGTAAAGCTGGCGCGAGTGCTATAATCGGCACATCAACCTCATCAGATCAACCCACATCGTAGAGAAGTTCCCGAAATGCCGGCTGCAATACGTCCCGGGCCGCGTACTCGCCAACCATTTCATATAGAACGGCCGGCCCCTGGTTTCCTAAAGCGGTTTTGGTTAGCTGAGAGTTTTATATGCCGCTGAGAATCTCGTAATTTAAGATGAGCGAAGCTATTGACCAAAAAAATGTTCTCCCCCCGCTAACGAAGCAGAACCCCTAAAACGACATGCCATTGACGTTTTAAGCTAAAGAAAGCGGGCCGTAGCCATTTTGGGATATGAATCCTACATTGTAGACGGATTCTTCGACGAAATGCGAGCAGTAGACGGATGAGTGGTCCTGGGCTCCGCATATTGCCGCGTAGGCGGCCGGGTTGTCGTTACTATATGGAACTCATAGCTGTTTCTGGCTATTACCCGAATAGATGAGCCAACAGGTCGTTGATCTCCCGGCATAGCGTCGCCTTTGACAGCTCCTCGCGTTGTTTGCATTGCATTTGGGCATCCTGAAGGCGACTTTCGAAAACGAAACGTCCGGATGTTGATGCCGCGCATTTCGAAGCGGTTCATAGTGAAGGTTTGGCGCAAAATTCGCAAAATAGCTTTAAATTCCAACAAATGTCAAAACTTGGTAAAACTCAATGGCAAAAATGTTTATCGGAAGCTGATCCGGAAAGCGCGTTTGTGGCGAGCTCATTTTCTAAGAGCCGATTTTGCTGCGTTGCAGTGTTTTGAGCACCACCACGAAAAGGCGCTGTAACTCTTCAAATAAGCACATTCGGAAATTTTGGAAACCAAATTCGGGAATCAACGAAAATTAAGGTGCAAGCGTACAAAAATTCACACCTGGCAAAAATCCACTTTATCCTCCTCCTCCTCGGTCCCCAGGCAATTTTAGGCGAAAAAGCCGGGAGTCGACTGAATGGATGTATGATTGGTGTGCAAAGCTCATTCTCCACGACATCTTTCTTGAGCAAGTCGTTCAGAACGTCGTTTGGGTCTATTGCCCGTTGAAGCCCAGCAGTGAGTTGGAATAGGGCAAGGAGCAGAGCAGGACCGTACGGGCGTCGCATTTCTCGAATAATTATTGATCGATCAAGGAAACTATTAATTACCCGACAATGCCAGGCCGAGGAGGACGGCGCTTTGCTCAGTTTTTTTTGTAGTTACTGACCATTCTCCAATTCAGTATGCAAATTTATGTATGCAAATTCGAAAGAGATAATCCGAATACAGGGTGCCATCAAGAAAAAATCCCCGTCTAACTCGCCGCAAAAATATAGAATCGCAACGATCCCTTGAGACGGCGGGCTTGCAACAATCTTAAAGACGCTAGTTTTGATGCGCTTGTTTACCTGATGGTTGGTAATATTTTTTGGTTTTTCGGAGCTTCATACGGCCTAACACCCCCAGCTAACAGTTCCGGATCGGATGCCGAATGGAGGCTTCTTACTGGGCGAACCCAGAAGGTGCGGACCTGGCAAAATCCACTGTACGTTCGCTTCACCAGTTTCCCACCCAAAAAATTTATTCAAGCCAT